TGTATTTGGAGTGTCCAGTCATCTTTCAGATGCCTAATTATTAAACAGCATTGGACAATGAAAGATCACCAGATGAAGGGGAAAACTTTCAATAAGAAGGTGAGAGATGAAAGCAAATAACCAGGATGAAGAAAACTGGAGTAAGCAAATCAATTCAATGCAAAAAGCAAAACAAAGAAGCAAACAAAACCAAAACCAAGCAAATGTCCCCCAGGATAGTACACTTACTATTTTCCTGGAGTTAAGAGGAAATACTATGTGCTTTGCAAAAGGAAAAGTCTGGAAACGAGAATGAGGGCTTTAAATTTAAAAATATAATTGTCAAAATAAAATATTCAATTAGAGGGGCATAATAAAATAAAGAAACTTCATGAATGATAAAACAAGAAGTCAAAGAACTAAAAACTAAGAAAAGAATGAGAAACAATTTAGAGGATTGAGACAGTTAAATAGCAAATAATATAAATTTCAGAAAGAAGAAACAAATTGGAGAGGAGTAAATTAATGAAACCCAGAACAAAAAAAGAAAAAATTTTCAAAATGGAATGTTATAAATTTCTAGATGAAACTGGTCCAAGTGGTGATGAAAAAAGACTCCCACTGAAGCATAGCATGATAAAGTTTCAGAATAGATGGAGTTAAAATAAGATCTTGAACAGTTCTGGAGGTTAAAAAAAACACAAATAAATGAGAGCCTGAAAGTTCTAGAATGTCTCAAAAACATTACTGGAAGAAAATATACAGAAAAACAACGCATGCACAATTCTGAGAGAAAACAATTTTCAACCTAGAATTCTATACCCAAACAGGCAGTCAAGTGTGAAGGTAGCCAGGTGTGAAAAAATTCACTTCATAGACACCTTTTGTAAGAAAGGTATTGGAGGGCATGTTTCAGAAAAACGAGGGAGCAAATAAAAAATGAGAATGACATGAAATCCACGACAAAGTGATCCATTATAAGAGCAATGGAGGGCAGATTCATGCCTGCATCAGACCTAGACATTACCAGTCTAAAACCAGAACAAGAAGGTAGAGGGCTGCAGAAGACAATAGATGTAAAAGATTATTCAATGTATTAGAATGCTTACACATCATTCATAGACATTTGACAGACTTATTGGAATATTTGGAAAAAATGAGTAAAAAGTAAAGAAAAAACTAAGCAAATTGAACTACATAAATGAAAGCAAACAACAATTACAAATTCTGGGAACAAAAAAGATGTACAAAGAAAAAAAAACAATCATAGTTCATCACAAGTTTCTGTAGAAAATAATATTCACACATTTGTGATAATATCAATACTGACTGATATGACTATGTTCAGTAGGTGAGGGAGAAAGAAGAGAAATAAGGAGAATGTGTTGGGCGCAGTGGTTCACAACTGCAATCCCAGCACTTTGGGATGCCTCAGCGGGCAGATTGCTTGAGTCTAGGAGTTCAAGACCAGCCTGGGCAACATAGTGAGACTTCATCTCTATAAAAAATTGGCCCTGTGTGCTGGCCTATGCCTGTAGTCTCAGATACTTGGAATGTTGAGGTGGAAGGATCACCTGAGCCCAGGAAGTAGAGACTTTTGTAAACATACTGCTGCACTCCAGCCTGGATGACAGAGTGAGTCCCCAACCAAAAAAAAAAAAAAAAAGAAGAAGTAGAATAAAAGAAAACTATACACTCAAAAAGAAGCCAATAACCTGCCATAAGTAAGTATATAAATGGTTGTTTGTGTGAATTATTTAGCAACATGGAAATAAGTAGAGAAAAGATAGCTAACAAAAAGCTAAAAGAAGTTGCCTCTGGTGAGTGGGACGATGGAGTGGGGTGAGGTAGCACAAGGGGCTATTTTTCAACATAAGCCTTTTAGTATTATTATGACTTTGCACAAGTGTTATTTGATAAGTGTTAAAACTAATTAAAATAGTACTTATTGGCACTGTGGTGTATTGGTTTGCTAGGACTGTGGCTTAAACAACAGAAATGTATTGTTTCACAGCTATTGAAGTTTGATGTCTGAGGTAAAGGTATGGATAGGATTGAGTTTTTCTGAGGACTGTGAGAGAAGGATCCATTCCAGGACTCCCTCCTTGGCTTGTTGGTGACCTTCTTCCCCCTGAGTCTTCATTGTCTTCCCTCTAAGTGAGTCTTTGTGTCCAAACTTCCCCTTTGTATAAGGACACCAGTCATATTGCATTAGGGCCCACCCTAATGACTTCATCTCAACTTGATTAACTCTGTAAAGACTCTAACTTCAAATAAGATCAAATTCTGGGGGCTTCAATATACAAATTTGAGGGGTAGGATAGAGTGTGGTGGGACACAATTCAACCCATAACTTGTGGAGAATATCAGTTGTAGCCAAAGTTTCTGTGGGGAAAACCTCTGTAATGTGAGCAAGTTTCTTAATTTTGTCTGTGAGCCTGCTTGGAATCCTGTAAGTTCTTGTCTTGTGTGGAACACGGGCTTCCATTTAAAGAGAGTGACATTAGCCCAGGAGTGGTGGTTCATGCATGTAATCCCAGAAATTTGGGAGGCTGAGGTGGGAGAATTGCCTGATTCCAGGAGTTCATGACTAGCCTGGGCAACCAGTGAGACCCTTGTCTCTTCAAAAAATAAAAAAAATAGCTGGGCATGGTAGCATGCACCTGTAGTCCCAGCTACCTGGGAGACTGAGGCAGAAGGATCGCATGACTCCAAGAGGTTGAGGTTACGGAGAGCTGTGACTGTGCCACTGCACTCCAGTCTGGGCAACAGAGTGAAACACCGACTTGAAACAAACAATAACAAAGCATACATGAACAAAACCAAAGGGCTTCCTCAGTGGGGTTCTGAGAGTTAGAGTGCCACTGAATGAAGGCAAACATTAACATTTACCTAGAACTAGAAAGACATGGCATAACGAGCATTTTGTGGAAACTTCATACTTTGGTTACATCAATTGCATATCATTCCATGTACCATGGAGCGGAAGATCAAAGACAGGACTTCACAAAAAGTTGTCTTTAAAGACCTTTGTTGGAAAGGTTTGAGAAGCAAAGGGGTTCTTTTAATAAAGATGGGTCTTTATAATCTACCCACTCAATCTTGTATTTTTGAAATACCCTGGGCCAGGCGGGGTGGCTCACGCCTATAATCCCAGCCGAGGTGAGAGGATTACTTGAGCCCAGGGGTTCGAGGCCAGTTTGGGCAACTTGGTGAGACCTTGTCTCTACAGTAAATCAAACAATTAGCCGGGCATGGTGGCGCAACCTATAGTTCCAGCTACTTGGAAGGTTGAAGTGGAAGGATCGTTTGAACCCAGCAGGTTGAGGCTGCGGTGGCCATGAGCATGCCACTGCACTCCAGCCTGGGAGACAGAGTGAAATTCTGACTCAAAAAAAATAGAATAAAATAAAAAGTAAAAAATAAAATAAATTAAAAAAATAAATAGCCTGAATTAGTCTCTGATTATTTTGTGAATAGGAAGCAAATCCACAACTGGCACCCACTCCTGTTTGTAAGCTTCTTTAGGGCCAGGGCCAGAAGAGCTGACACTAGTGCAGGACTCCCTGTGTATCAGAAACTGTTCCAACCAGTGTGCACATCTAAACTGATTTAGCCCTCACTCTAATCCTATGAGGCGGGTCCTATGATTATTCCAGTGTCAGGGCCTCCAGAGCCCATACTCTGAACACCTTACTCAATACCCCCAGCCCAATCACAGTCATTACAATGCAAGCACAACACTGGTCTCACAGTAGAAGTGAATCAACCAGTATACATTATCTCATTGCTCAGCAAAAGAATGTTTAATTAACTATGAAGTTAGCGTGTAAAGACATTTATATTAAATATTTGCAGCCTCACTGACTTGCCACTTCAAGGTTTCCTGGTTGATTCTTTATTGCCTATACTGAGACAAGAGCCTGAAAGGAAACTTGGTGATGATGTTGATATTTATAATTTACCACCACACAGGGAGCTCTGGGAATTCAGAAGGCAAGGCTACAGTTGGTCGGATTGGTTTCAGAAGTATCCTTTCAGCTTTCAAATCATTAGTGGGTAGTTCCACATATTAGCAGAAGCACAGAGTTATAGGCCCCATGACATTTAACAGAGCACAAAGAGTTATGGGATCTGACAGTATGAGCTCCAGATTTTTGGAAAATTATCCAAAAGTGTCAATGTCTAAATCTGAAGCCAATATTACCATGTTAATTGAATGAGATCATCATTTTCAGAAGCCATTCACTATAATAAATGATTTATAAATGTTTTCATAAATTTGAATGCATAGGGCAACTGTCATGGAAGGTTCCAAATTCAATTTTAGTTGTAACTAGACTGGATTAGACTCTTGTTAGACTTAATGTGCATGGGCATATGTGCACAAATGTCAGCCTTGGAGTGCATCCTTATTCGTGGGTGATTTAGGGAGGCAAATGTGGATGAGTATTTAGTCTACATATAGCATTAAAACGGGAGCCTCAAGACAGGAATTTGTTATGTGATTGTGACTCTGTTCATGGCTTTGGATACAGCTTATGATGTGTGGGGTGAGGTATGGTGTGTGGAGTAGAATGGCACTGTGGTGGTGTGGCATGTTGATGGAAGGGTGTATGGTTTGGTGAGCTGGTGTGTGGTTGGTTGGACCTGGCATGTGATTTGATTGGAGTTGGTGTGGAAGAAGCCTTGATGCGGGGTGAGGTTTCACATGGGGTGCTGATTATGTGAGATGTAGGAGGTGGGAGGCTGGAATATGTGAGTGTGTGTGGGGCTACAGAATGGATGTGGTATGTGTGTATGTGTGTGTAATATGGTTGTAGCTTAGCTTCGCTTTTGTTTAGGTTTTCTTTTGCTCTTTGTTTTTCTCTTTGTTTTTGTCTTTGTTTAGCCTTTGTTTTGTCTTTGTTTCACTCTTTGTTCAAACTTTCTTTGACTTTTGTTTGGTTTTTCTTTAGCCTTTTGTTTAAACTTTGTGTGGCCTTTTTGTAGTCTTTGTGTAGCTTTTGTTTTTAAGTGGATCTTGGCTGAGGACCCATCAAAAACACCTTGTGTAATAAAAAACCCAGATCTATAATCTCTCCCTATATATTCTGCATACACTGAGATAGCCTCAACCCTTCAGGGACCTGGCACAAACGTGGAACCTGTTTTACACAACAACTGCTATTTGAAGGTAAGGGGATTCCATTCATTTTCATTTTGTACTTCATCTTCAAGTGGCAAGTGTACATTTTGTTTATCATTATATCTCAGGGAGAACTTGCTGTAATAGCAGTCAAGATTAGGAAGACAAAAGGATGGAAAAACAGGAACAGAGGACACCAAGTTTATTCTGATGTGGGCAGAGGGCCCGTCTCTGCCATTCCTTCTCATTAGCAGACAAGTTCCTGCTAATGCTTGGGAATTGTCTGAGCCTGAGGAGAAGCTCAGAACCCTAACTCAGATTTCCTCAGTTTCAAAACCCCATTCATGTTCCTGGAGCTGCATCAATGATGCTGTTGGCTTCTTCTAATTCTTTTTTTTCTATTTATTTTATTATTTGTCTTGACTTAAAAATAAGGTTTTCTTCTTATCTAGGAATATCTTCTCTCATATGGTTTACATGTGGGGGATACTAGTGGAACAACAAAGCCCAAATGTTTTTGGAATTCCACTCCCTGTAGATCAGCAATCAGAAATGGAAAGACATTAATGCCTTATCTGGTACAGAATCTTTTAGAAATCACAGGGACTTTTCAGTTCTGTGACTGATAGAAAAAAAAAAAGGGATTATGGTCAGGGAAAGAAAGTAATGAATTTGCCAGGGGTACTAGAAGAAAAATGGGGAGAAGGATTTTCAATGCCTTGTAAATAAAATAGGGAGGCAGAGAACAGACTACTGCCAGATGTGCTGATATGCTTGCTATTTTATGATTATTTAGAATGGCAGGGGACTTGTTGGTGAGTGGATTTTAAAAAATTGCTTTGGATTACAGAAAAGTTACAAGCAGTACAAAATATTCTAGTTATACCCAGATGACCCAAATGTTAACATTTTACCACATGTATTTTATTATTCTTTTTCTTTCTGTATCCACAAACACATACAATATTTTTTGTAAGTAATTTAAAGTCAAGGGCACATATCATTATAATAAAAAAATTTACATTGAGAAAATACTATTATTTAATCTAGAGTTATCTAGACTTCATCAATTGCCCCAGGAGCCAATCCAGAATCATGTGTTGCCTTTGGCTGTTCTACCTTTTCAGTCTCCTTTAATCTAGAACTGTAACTGAGACAGTTATTGCTTTGAGGACCTTGATAGTTTTGAATAGTATGGACCAGTTATTTTGCTACATGTACCTTAGTCTAAGTTTGGCCTGCCATTTTGTCATTATTAGGTCTAGATTATGCAGTTTTTGAAGAAATATGCTTGCACTTTAGATCATATATATATTCAAATCCATTCTTGAATCTTATTATACAAGCTCTTAATTCAAGGTCTTGTTTATTTAACAGTTACTAGGATTTTAAATGAGTACCTGAAATCATGTTACACAAAATTACAAAAATTAAAAATCCAGAGCTTTTACAGATAATTCCCGAGCAATCACCAAAAGTGTGTAAGTGCTACCCTTGGATTATAAATGCCAATTGCAGTAAAATATACATGAACTTGATGGGCTTCAAGTGAGGTATTTAATTTAGATTCTTTGTGTGTGTTGGATACATGTCTACTGCTGTGTATTAGTTTCACAAATGTAATAATTCCTTTCCAAGTGTAACTAACCATCTGGTGAAGGCAGATGCAGAGTTGTATTGAAGGCAATAAAGAGTTGCCCTGAGTAGTCCCTCTAGGCTGCTGGTGTCCTTTCACAGGTTGTCAGTGATATGTACACTAATGAAGGAGGCAAACCTCTAGCAACTTTGTGAAAAGACTCTGATCAAAAGTGTTTCCTATATTTTCTAGTGCTCACATCCCTGCATAGACTTATTCCCTTATGGGGATGGGAGTCAAAACTCTTTTTAGATAACAATAAATATAAAAAGGAGAGTCTCATATCTCAACTTTCTGCACCCAATAAAACAACTTGGACTGTGTGTGTATCCTACTTTGGATATCACTGGCCCGTCCCTTTTACTGTAACATTTCAATCACACCAGGACACAATGAATTGACACTAGTTCCTCTTGATATTTCAGTGTCTACCAACCTCAAGTCCTGAACATCACCTTTCCAAGCCTTTTCCTAGCCCCTCCTCTGGGCATGAGACAGAAAGCATACCAGCATGTCCCTCTAGCACTTATCTCCAGTCAGCTCTGTATCACCTGCTACAATTGCCTTATGGAAAACAGACAGCTAGTCATTATGTTAAACCCAAGATTTTAACCGAGAGACCACAAAGAACCAGCTCCGATGCAAACACACGAGGGTTTTTATTCAGGCTCGAGTCTGGGCTCACGTTTGAAGCCAACGCAGCGACTTCAGGGACGAGAACCCCGATTCAGTATAGCAAGCAGTTTTTATGCACAATTACAGAGGGAGGGGAAAGAACTTTAATCTTGTTTTTACATGATTGGGTAATTTCTCCTAATGGGTACGGGGGCACTTGGGATTGGTAGGTTTATTTTCTGGTCTGTGCAAGCTCTAGCTCCGCTACCTGTGATTGACGGGAAACGGCTAAACGGGCAGAGTGGAATGTCAGATAAGCTAGGTACTGCGTGTAAATTAACTTGAGCAAGCAGGCAGGAGGTTTGAAACAACGCAGAGCCCAGCAGAGCCCACCGAGAGGGTGGCTAGTGCCACCAAGTCTGCTGATCTAAACAAAGGAATGTTCAGGAGGGGCTTGTTTGCTTAACATTTACATCCCATTGCAGAAGCAGAAGTCAGCATGGCAATTGGGACGAACAGAGCTTAACAAGAGTTCTAAGTACACACACTGCTTAAAACATTGTATAACTTTACAATCACAGTCACTACCAGGCAAAGGAATATGCCTAGTTCTATGGAGTCTGAGGTAGGATTTAAAATACTAAGAATTCATAAAATATAGCGAATGTGAGGCAGGGATATATAAAATACAGTGAACACTGCTTTTACAGTAAGTATAGCTTTTTTGATATAAATATAGCAATTTGAGGTAGGGATATATAAAATACAGTGAACGCTTCTTTTACAGTAAGTATAGCTTTTTTTGAGTCTCTTGGGTCCCTCAATTACACATAGAAGGGATCTAACATGTACTGAGGAACAAACACCATAGTTCGTCGAAGAGGAAGCAACAGGTGTGCAGAGGTAAGACTCATCTAACAGATCCATCCCTTCTGAAGCAGAACCCACTTGTCCACATAATGATTGCTGAGAGTTCTGGTGTCTTCAAGTCCAGTGGGTTTTCTATACATACTATAGAGAAACTTTGTGGTGGTTTCCTCAGAATCATCAAGGTTAACTCCAAATCCCCACCCTTGAGACAGTTTTACAGCAGGGTGCCTGGCAAGGACAGAAGTCTCCTTTTCTTTATTTGTAAGTGGGAGAACTTCTGTTTGGAGGTGACTGGCAGTTTTATCATTCTGGAGATGGAGACTTTGACTTCCCAGCATATAAAGCATACATTTTTCCCCCTCAGAGAAAACACCGAAGTATTCAAAAAATCTAAATGTGAGGAAGTTGATTAACCTATTATGTGACCTTTATAGTAAAGTGAATATATTTTGGCTTTAACAGTACTATTCCCTGGATAAAGTAGATAAATGTTTTTTTTTCTTGTAAATATGGAATTTGGTTAAATGTTTGAGGTTCTGTACATAGTGTTATTTAATAATAAGGAACTCAGTTACAAGAATGTGTAGCGTTAGCTAATATGACTGCCTTATCTGGACCATGGAAGTCACTCTGTAGTTTGATACACTGTTTTCTACTTCAATAACTTTGTGTTTCCATGATAAATCATCCTGAGGTGAAAAACGAGGGCCCCATTCTCTTAGCCAAAAGACTTGGAGGTCAGGACATGGAAGGCTTGGAAGGCCAGGAGAGTCTTCTAATTGGAGTTTAAGCTGCTCCCCACAACCTGAAAGTCTGCTGGGCTGGGCTGGTCCTCTGGGATTGAGTCCCATCATTTCGGCCTCAGGAGTGACTTCTATTGGCCTTGTAGGCCACTCTGGCTTCAGTTGCTTCTGTTACCCTTAAAGTATTAGGTAAACACCTAGTGTCAGATGTATTCTGGGGGAACCAACCTGCTTTAAAATGTATCTGGGATTTTGTTTTTATTCAGGAATGGTGAGGCCAACAGATCAGGAAATGGTTGCCATTGTAAGTAGTTTTTTATTCATAGCTCCCAAGAATAGGGGAAATGTGGAGAACAGTCATATGGGGAAGCAACAAGAAAGGGTCCTTATACAGAAGTCAGAGGAGTGAAGGAAAAGTGTGGGTGAGAGCCCTTACTGTGGTTTTTGTTGGAAGGAATGGGCTAGGTAGGTTGAACAGGCAAGGCAGATTTAGGATTGGCTAGTTTGAATAATTTCCTGTAGCTAAGGTACAGGGGCTGTTCCAAGTTATCGGATATCTGACATGGGGTGGTTAGGGAAGATAAATATTGGTTCAATCTGTGAGAGTTTAATTTTAAAAGGTAGTTGATGAGTTTGGGTTCTGGGTTGGTTGGTTTGCATATGAAAGGCAGCTCACAGCAAATGAATCATTTGTATCTCTAGAAACCATTTAACCCTGGAAGGGGCAGTCTCTCCAGGGTCAGCAAAGCTCCAGATGCCAGAACATCAAGAATACAGAAAATAAGATTACTTCACATTGAATACATGTACCAAAACATCACACTGTACCCCATACAAGCAAGGGAGAAAAAGCACAGGAAGCTAAACGATTGCATAATAACATTGCTCGATAGTAAATCTAGACTAGGTGGCTAGGAAAGTTACCTCTGAGAGAGGTATATTTAACTTAAAATCTTGTATTCTTCAGCAGGCATTATACAAGAAAAGTGGGCTGGGGAGGGTATTTCTGGAAACAGGAAAACTATCAGCAAATGTCCAAGGCAGGAGAAACCATAATGCCTTGAAATAATTGAATATGACTGAAGCACAGAGAACTAGGAGCTAAATACCTTTTTTAACTTCATTTTTCTTGACTGGTTGGTTTTCTGAATCCTCCAAGCAAAGAATTTGGGAGTTCCTAATCCAATCATCAAAACTTTCAGCTAAGATAAATTATTGTAATGAAAACATTTAAGGGCACCCCCTTTGGGTCCCCTCTCACTGTGGGAGTTTTTCTGTCCTCTCAATAAATCCTGCTTTGAAAAAAAAATATGGAGGGCATTAACTTAAATGAAAGCAAACTCAAATTACAGTCATATGTTGCTTAACACCTAGTGCATCATTAGGTGGTTTCATCATTGTGTGAACACCATAGAGTATACTCACACAAACCTAGATAGTACAACCTACTATTTTTATACCTACACCTAGGCTCTATGGTATAACCTATAACTCCTAGGTTTCAAGCCTATGCAGCATATTAATGTATTGAATACTGTAAGCAGTTGCCACACAAAAAGTATTTGTGTGTCTAAAAATATCTAAATGGAGAAAAGGCAGAGTTGAAATATGGCATTGTCTGATATTGTAAATTCCACACATTTCAACCTAGAGGAATGTGGCTATAAGGGGAAAGAAAATATATAATTCCCATTTCTTAAATGAAATATAAAACTACTAAATTGTGACAAATGGAGACATAATAAATTATGTGGATTGATGCCTAAAAAAAAAAAAAAGAAATACGGTATTGTAATCTT